GAAGAGTAGATGATGTCAGGTAGCGATGAGAGCCTTGAAGAAAACACAGGAGGATTAGGGGAGAGAGAGTGGGGGGTTGCGGGGGTGGGATCAGAATAGTCAGGAAAGGCTCAGGGAAGAGCCAAGGTAAAATCCCTGAGACAAGAATGAGTGTTATGTGTTTTAGGAGCAGTAAGGCAGTCAACGTGGCTGGAGTGGGATGAGTGAGAGGAGGGAGAGGAGGTGAGGTCAGAGAGAGAGCATTTTGATTTTTCACTTAAGTGTTATCAAAAACAGAGGAGGGTTATAATAATCGGAATTGTTTTAGTTGAACTGTAACATTACAGTGAAATGTATAAATCTCAATGGACACACACAAACACACACACACACACACACATGTAACCACATCCAGGTCAAGATACAGAACATTATGTTCATAGCAGCACTATTTGCAGTAGCCAAGACATAGAAGCAACCTAAATGTCCATCAACAGATGAATGGATAAAGAAGATGTGGTATATATATACAATGGAATATTACTCAACCATAAAAAAGAATGAAATATTGCCATTTGCAGCAACATGGATGGACCTGAGATTATCATACTAAGTGAAGTAAGTTAGACAGAGAAAGGCAAATATCATATGATATCATTTATATGTGGAATCTAAAAAAATGTTACAAAGCAACTTATTTACAAAACAAAAATAGACTCACAGACATAGAAAACAAACTTATGGCTACCAAGGGGGAAAGTGGGGGAGAAATAAAGTAGGAGTTTGGGATTAACAGATATACACTACTATATATAAAATAGATAAACAAGGACCTATGGTATAGCACAAGGAGCTATATTCAATATCTTTAATAAGCTATAATGGAAAATAATATATATATATACACATACATACATGTGTATGTACATATACATATATGTATTTCTGTATGTGTATATACATAACTGAATCACTTTGCTGCACACCTGAAACTAAACACAACATTGTAAATCAACTATACTTCAATGAAAAAAAAAGATGCAGAACTTTTTTTTTAAACCAGGGAATTCCCCCGGGCATATTTTTTTAATTAATTAATTTATTTATTTGGCTGCGTCGGGTCTTAGTTGCGGCATGTGGGCTCTCTAGTTGTGGCACGAGGGCTTAGTTGCCCCGCAGCATATGTGGGATCTTAGTTCCCTCATCAGGGATTGAACCCTCATCCCCTGCATTGGAAGGCGGATTCTTAACCGCTGGACCACCAGGGAAGTCTCTGACACAGAACATTATTATCACCACACAGGGCTTCTTAACACCCCTTCAATACTCTCCCCCACCCCATGAGTAACCACTATTTTCACTCCAATCCCCATAATTTTGCCTGTTTTTTAACTTCTCTAAACCGAATTATATAGTGTGTAGTTTATATGTCTGGCTTTGTCTACTCAATATTATGTCTATGAGATTCATTTACACAGGTAGTAGTCATTTGTTCCTTTTTATTGCTATGTAATATTCCATTATAAGAATATACTACAATTGATTTGTCCATTCACCTGTTGAAGGATACTTGGGTTTTTTCTAACTTCGTTGTCATGAATATACACCTAGGAATGGAAATACTAGGTCACAGGTACGGTGTACATTTAGTTTTAGTAGATACAACCAAACAGTTTTCCAAACTGGTTGTACCAATTTAGACTCCCGCCAGCAATGTATAAAAGTGCCAGTTGCTCCGCATTCTCACTGACACCTGGTATCGCTGCCCTTTAAGTTCAGCCATACATTATCTGATTTAGGTTTGTAAAAGAGCACCCTGGCTGCAGTGTGGAGACCCAATTGGTGGGGTTAAGAGCAGGTTGGAGAGAGGAAGCCGAGAACCCAGGTAGGAGGCTAGTGCAGTCGTCCAGGGAAGACGTGAAAGTGTCTGGACTGGGTGGTAATAGAGAAATCATAGAGAAGTGGACTGATCAGGTTGTGTTCTGGAGTTGTAGCCGCCGGGCCGGGCCAATGAGATGAGTGAGGGATGAGGGAAAGGGGCATCGAGGGTGAGTCTTAGATTCTTGCCTGGAAAACTTGAGTGGATGAGAGGACCATTTTCTTTCTTTCTTTTTTTTTTTTTGGTACGTGGGCCTCTCACTGTTGTGGCGTCTCCCATTGCGGAGCACAGGCTCCGGACGCGCAGGCTCAGCGGCCATGGCCCATGGGCCCAGCCGCTCTGCGGAATGCGAGATCCTCCCAGACCGGGGAAGGAACCCGCGTCCCCCTCATCGGCAGGCGGACTCTCAACCACTGTGCCACCAGAGAAGCCCGAGAGGACCATTTTCTGAGATGCAGAAGACTGAGGGAATAACTGATGCAGGATGAGGGAAGGTCAAGGGCTCATGTGTAGCTGTTTGAGTATATGATGTCTCCTGGAGCTCAGGCTTTCATTAGAGCCTAACACGAGGCTCTAGATTCTCCACATCTTAGTATAACTGGTAGGTACTGGTTGTGTGCAGAGTGCATGCTGTCTGGGTAGCGGCTAGAGCAGCAGACCCCAATGGATGGCGGGGCGGGGGATGGTTTAGGCGGTAATGCGAGCGATGGGGAGAGGCAGATGAAGCTTCGCTCGCTCACCCGCCGCTCACCTCCTGCTGTGCGGCCCGGTTCCTAGCAGGCCGCGGACCACTATCGGTCCGCCGCCTGAGGGTTGGGGACCCCTGGGCTAGAGAACGTGCATGCTGTCTATAGCGGACAGATCTGGGTTAGGGGCCCCATTCTGCCCCCTCGCTCGCCCTGTAACTTGGACATTGTGCTGGGACTGCCTAGCTTCCAGCTTCCACCTCACAGTGTTAGAATTAAACGAGATCACATATCCATGGCACCTGGAACGTGGAAGAACGAAAACATTCACTCTTGCAACTCCCAGGCACTAGGTGGCATTTCTCCCAAGGTTAGCGCCTTTTCCTCTCACCCACATTTTCAAAGTCACTCCAGAACAGCCTGGTTGAGGTAGCCCAGAGCCCCAAGAGGTGGTTCCCTCTCCCCTCCCTCGGCCTTTCCTTCCCCAGGCTCAAAGAAACAGAATGGAGAACAGCAGGCGGGTTGATTCATAGACTTTTATCAGCTTTTACTCCACCGGGAGGTTTCTGCAATGACAACCTAGCCTGTACAGTACACGTTTCACTCTGGAAAAGCTGTGGGGCACAGGAAGGCATCCGGGAGGCCACTGGGCGGCAGCAGGGCAGGCGTCAAGGCTAGGGGCGGGCAGCAGCAGAGACTGGACCAGCGGGCCCCAGGGTTTGGGGAGGATGATGAGAGCTGGAGTGACAAGGCTGCTGAGAGGGGTCGGGAGGAAGGGCGGCTGCAGGGAGAGAAGGGCACATCAGCAGTAGCAGGGAGGAGTAGATAGACAGAGGTCCCTGTCTGTGAGGGATGGAGGGGGTGGGACACAGCACCTGTGAATGTGCTGGGGGTGGGGAGTCTACAGACATTTGGGGGGGGGCAGGAGCAAGACAGACCGCTGTATAAAAGGGACTGTACAACATAACCTATGATACACTGTTTACATATGATACAAGGCTCTTTCCCCCTTTGAGTTTTAAAAAATAAATTTACAATTCCCGAGCTTTTGGTAAAAAATATATACACTCTCAGAATAGGAACGGCAGCTGCTTTGGCTGGTGGCCCCTCTG